CCCCCCCCCCCCAGCGTCCCATGTGCAGGGGCCCACAACTATGGGTCATCTCATCATACTCCTAATCTTGCGAGTTTTTCCTCACAAAGCTTGACTTCTTGCAGCAACGCTATGCAGACCTTATGTTTATGCATCCAGGATTTCAACCTGACTCTCTTGGAATGTTGTGTCGTGTCACCCAGCCACGGACGTTCCAAGACACTACTCTAAGATTGTCTATTTGACCCGCTTTCACCTGGTCACGGTGTCTGCTGTATCCGGTCCGATGCTGATGGTACTATTGTATGACCAGACGATCCATTTCTTTCTCTCTCGCTGTTCTGGGGTGCAATTTGAGGCCATCTCTGTGTCAGCAAGCTTCAAACGAAGATTGAATCCAACTTCTTGTTCATTGCAAGTTTTTCATTGAGACCGGTGTAGGGGCCGTACCCTGAAGGACTTTCGAGCCTTGGTCGACCCCACTGCGGGTCCCATTTGGCTCGACCCGCTCACGCTCACGCTTAGGGCGCGGGTCGTTCGTCCCAGGGGCACCCCCACCTAGTGCTATGAGATGGATGGGGATGGGCCATTTGCGAGAGGGCTTTACATTGGGGGATGTAGCTCCGTTCTCGCGTCAAGATGGTAGCTCTTTGGGCACTCGTGACGTTTTCTCGATTCAATTAAGTCTGATCAGGCAATTGCTCCTTCCAATGCACAAGCAGTCCAGGGAGTTCCTTGAAAGTTTGTCTTCTTACCGTGCGCAGGCCAAGTGTCATCCATTGGGTCACACACCTTTTTACTAAGTCTAGTGGCTCGGGGCAGCACCGGCAGCATCCCGGGGCGAGGCGGCGTCGCCCGGGCCCCTAGCCACTATATTTTTTTTGCAAGAGCCACTAGCATCACATCCACCTATCCAAGGCAACCCTTAGTCCTTCCAGGCTTGCATTGCATTCTCGAGAGAGTCTTTGCATTCAATCATCATACAACCACATCCAAGCGTCTACCATTCGTCCAAGCATCCGACCACCCGACCATACAACCTATCCCGCATCCACAGCTTATGCGAGGTCCAAGTCCATCCCTTAGCCAATTCTCCCACCCTAGTCCTCATCCGTGGTTCCAACCCTGTCCAAATCGTCCCATGCTACTCACCTGCGCAAGACCACACAAGACAAATGACCAAGTACAATCCCCATTGGGGTCAACACATCGCCCCTTCCCGCAATCCTAGGCCCCCTTTGCCTTCCCCTTATGAGTTCCCTTCCCTTTC